GAAGCTACAATTTGTTGGAGGGGTTCTCAGGCCATACTAGAAACATCACAGATGTCTCACATAATTTTCCTAACTGCCCTCCAAGGCCAGTATTATTATCTTCTTCAGCTTTTAGACATGAAAACAGAGGCTGAGAAAGGCTCAGTGAGTGGCCCAAGGTCATACACTGGGACACTGTGGGGAGGGACTGAGTCCAGCCAGCCTTTGTCCCAGGGCTGTGGTCTTCCTGCTACTTTTCCTTATACCCAACAGTGCTCAGCCTGAGCAATAAGCAATCAACAACCATGCTCTGCTCTGTCTCCTAGGATCTTGCAGACCACTCACATTCCATTTGTAAGGGGAGCATGTTTTCCTTCACTTTTTCTCTTACCCTTTGTTAACTGTGATAGTATTTAGGGAGAGGAGACCTTCGTTCTCTTACCAGAAGCCATTTATTGTCCTGGATACTGCTAATATCTTACTGGGTTTTATAGAACCTGCGATACTCTGCTAAAATCATTTTATGTAAAGACAATGTCCCTTTTCTGCTAGAACATTCCATCTATGCAAGAGCTGAATTTTTATTTCGATTGACCCATTATCATGGAAGATGCGCAACATTTCTCATTTTTTGCACACTGCTTTTGAGATTGTTGTTTGCATACACTCGAAGGTTTTATGATGTAATGACATTTATAACAATTTAAGAATGTCCTTGTTTAAGACACTCAGTGTCTGAAAGATCATCTTACAGACTTTCTGCATCCACTGAGTCTATTAGAAAGTGTCAGTGATCTAAGGCATTTGAATTTGGTTTATAAGCCCAAGGCCCTAGAAGTGGACAAAACAGATTTTCTTGGGAAGAGACGTGTAAGTGCTGAATGTTGCCACTTTGTACGAGTTTTTACCACAATTTTTAGGCAATGAGCTGTAATCATTCCCATAGTAAACATGTGGGTACAATTATGATCACTGCTAACATGAGATAATTTTTTTCAGAAAGAAGCACCTACTAGAATGAACTAGTCCCCTGCACTAACAAACTTATTTCTTCCCTGTGACATCTCATTCTCAGCTGCACACAGGTTGTAACAGTCCGTCTGAGCATTGCTGCGCTGTGCTCCATGGTAACGGAGACGACTGAGGCACGCTGTGCCCGGAGCAGGGAGAGTAGGATTCCTACCATGAGCATGGCTGCTCTCACGTTTAGGAAACTAACAGATCTTGCTTGATTATCTTTTTAGGTATAAAAAAACTTTTAAAATAAAGCACGAAATACCACTGAGCAAGCTGTGGACGGCTGACTGCGCGAACAAAGCAGGGAAAGGCCACACTGGTGCCGGAAGGTCCTTTGTCTTGGGCTGGCCCTCAGAGAACTTCGTGGCCACCGTGCGGTAAGACCCACAGCGGGGCCCGTGTTAATGTGGGTTGGCTAGGAAAGGACACAGAGAGTATGAGCCAACTTCACATGGTCTAGGACAGATAGAAACATGTAATTAATTATTTCTCTGAATCTTCTTAAAAAGGAAAACACTTTAGTATGATGTATATTAAGCCAGTATCTAAATTCTTGGCCGTCCCTATGACACTTGTGTGCTATGTGCTTTCCCCAGAGAGGTTTTTATGTGCAAATATGTACAAATGGATAGTTAGATAGTGGGAACTAGTGTAGAAATTTCCTTTAGTTTTGATTAGTGGTTTTTCAACAGGGCTCTTTGCGCTACTTGGCAAGTGGATGTTCAGGGGCTGAGGAAGGAGTCTTGGAGGAGCAAGACCTTAGGGCTGCAGTCCCCAACCCCCAGGCTATGGACAGGTACCAGTCCCTGGCCTGTTACTAACCGGGCTGCAGAACTGCGCCTCACCACCCCCACTCCCCAACCCCATCTGTGGAAAAATTTTCCTCCATCGTATCGGTCCCTGGTGTCAAAAAGTTTGGGGACCACAGCTCTAGGGCTTCCTCTCTAGCATCCTCTCCTCCATGCCCAGATATTGTCTATGTTTCAAACTACTAGAATAGATCTTTCTTCATCAAGTATTATTCACTAGTCCACTTATGCTTGAAAGGTTGCTTTTATACTCCCAAATTAATTCCCTAAAGAAATAGTATTTAATTATACAAATAAAATTCATCATACCATCAAATACTAGGTTGCCTTCATTGTTGTGTAGCAGATCATCCTATTTGGTATCTATAGAGAGGCGACAATCTGAAACAAAGGTGTGATCCATGGAATGCAGGTCAGTTTCCCAAAACACATTCCTAGGCTGGCATGAGGATGGGCAGTGTGGCTTCCTGCCCTGAACACCCTGAGTCAGCACTCTTGGCTTCACAGAGATCGTGCAGCACGTGTCTGCTTCTCTGAGCAACCACACAGCTCGTCTCATTCTAGTTTTACTCATTGAGAGTTCATCGCACGCACTCAACACCCTTCTTTCCTCTCCTCCTCACTTCACTCTGCCAAAGTCCCACGCATCATCATGAAGTTTAGACAACTGAAATGCTTCCAAGTTGTTAATTTACCAAATTGCAATAATTCAATTGTTGACTTAAGGAAAACATTTCCAAAGCACATCGGGAAGAAATACATGTTTGTGTCATTCCCTACGTGTCTTCTTTTCCACGACAGATTTCTCCAAAGGTTTTCAGTTCCTATTGCTTTACGTCTTCTCCATGTTGCAGGTGAAAGGAAGCAGTTTCAATTGGGAATGTATGAAGTCTTTGATGAGGGAGTTTCCAAGAAACGTTTTGTTTTAATGAGGGGGAAATGTGGAAACTAGGTTTACACATGTTATGTTGGCTATAAGGCTATGTGCATATGTGTAAGTCATTTACAACAATGCCTGGCACCTTTTGCTAATTGCTATTATTATTCTTCTATAAATTGGCATGAGTAATTAAAGGTGGTGTCCATGTATGTATGTAGGTTTGGGGCCAAGTGGGTGGTCCACTGTCCTGAGACACAGGTCCTGAGATGGTGTGGAGGTGGGAATTGGGGAGCTGTTGCTGGTAGAGATATAAAAGGTGGCAGCCCATGCAGAAACGTTTGCTAGTTCTCTAACAAGTTAAACATAGAATTACCATTTGACTCAGCAATTTCATTTCTGAGTATAGATCCCCCAGAAAAGAAAACATAGAACCACCCCAAAATTTGCACACAGATGTTCATAGCAGCATTGCTCATAATAGCCAAAAACCAGAAACAAACCAAATATTCACCAACGGATGAATGGATGAACAAAATGTGGTGTAAGAGCTGGGGACAACGAGGAATGGAGAGTGACTGCTTAATGGGTCCACAGTTCGCTTTTGTTCTCAGAAAATGTTCTGAAACAAGATCATGGTGATGGTGGCACAATATTTTGAATGTACCAAATGTCACTAATGGTCAGTTTTATGTTACAGATAATTTACCACAATTTTTTAAAAATTATTAAGTGATAAGTCCATGGATGAATGAGCCTTCAAACATTTCTAACTCAACTATTAAATGCTGCAGTGAACTGGCAGAGCAAACATTAATCATGACTAAGCAGTAAGTGAGCTGATCTTCATCAGAGGATTGTAGTGATGAAAAAGAACTTTTCTAGGAACTGATTTAACACCTTGCAGTTTTGCTATGTGTAGAAAGAAATAAAATGAAGTGGGAGATTTTTCCTCTTTAAAACATTCTTGTTTCTGGGCCAAGAGTGTTCCATGCGAATGCTGAATTTCTTAAGTATGATTTAATCTCAACAATAATACTCTTTACGTTAGAACAGCACTCGAAGCTAGGAGAACACAGTGAGGTTTAGTTAACCCCTTTCTCAGCTATGGAAACTGCAGCTCAGAGTGGTTGAGTGACTTGCCCGTGATCACATACCTTGCATCACATAGTTGCAATAAGGTGTTTCCATTCCAAACCAACCTCTCTTCTTCTCTGAGACCTACTTTCCATCCTTGTGGACTGCCTGTGAAAGAGCAGGGTCCATCCAATGCTCCGTTATGTGGAAGGCACAATTTATACACACATCCACGTTGGTAACAACTGACTACTGGTGCTTCTATGTGGAAAGACAGTCTTAATGTGTTAGTATAAATATCTTATGTAGTTTAATTTTTTTCTCCCATTTCTTAAAATTGCAGTTCTTTGGAACTAAAGAAGCAATGGATCTCTTTACTTCAAAGGTATTTTGTCAGTATATCTATTTAAAATTTTTAATTTGTGATAGAAAAATGCAAATCTCTGCAAAGCAGGGTCCCCAAACTATTCCCCTTTTTCTTAACAGAAATTGTCAGAGTGTCCTCAAATAATGTCTTGTTTAGATATACCCTATTTGCTTCTGTAAATAATGGGAGCATTGACATGCATGTTTCGTTTATTTTTGAGGAAGTTCTGGTTACCACTTTCATCCTTCCCTCTTGTCCAACCTATGAGTTGGAGCTAACATCATTCTCAAAACATACATTAAATTTCCATAAACGTGAGTTACTCTACTGAGCAATTCTCAACACAATTGCTCCTTTCTACCCTTGGACCCAGGAAGGTTCTGGGCCCTCCAGTCCAGGCAGGAGTGCTTGAGAACTGGATTTGCCACCCAAATCTCACATCACAGGGCAACCTGCTATTTTCTGGGCTATGCCTTATTTTTCTGAAACATTTTCCATGGTTTTTCAACCCATAATTTGACCTTGCTGAGTCTATCCATGTGTTTTCAAAAATAACATAAAGTATACTGAACATATTAGCAACATAGATTGATTTGAAAATAAGCTATTAGCTCATTCATCTTGCTCTATTTTGGGTTATTATTGAATTTGATTAGGTACATCAGTCTTGCCAAAGAAAAGGAGGAACCAAAGACCATTCCCCTTCAGATCCTCACTAAGGACGTCAAGAAGTATTCTCATGTAAGTGTGTTCAAGACCCAAAATTAAATTCCAGGTTCCTGCCTTAGGTAGAATGAAGGAGGGAGAGGAATAGAGATGGAGGTGGTAGGGATGGGGCAGGAGAGGGAAGGAGAGAGAAAGGGGTGGAGCAGAGAGAGGCAGGAAGAGCATTTAGAAAGTGCCATGTGGAAAAGTGTATTCTTATGTGCACATGTGGGTCTCTGTACATAGAAAAGGTAAATGCTGGGCAATATGAAGCAGGAGGAAACCATGTGAACCACAGCGCTACAGTTTGGAAACAACGTTCCATGTTAAATGTCCATAAGCTCTAGTACCTTGTTGTAATAAAGTGATTTTCACAAACACGTATTTCTTATTATTCATAGAATTGAACTATTTTTTTCTAGCTGTCACTGCTTACATACAGAGTGGTTTTGGTTTTTCCATGGTTTTTTTAAATGTTTATTTATTTTATTTTTAA